AGCCTCGCAATGAACTCCAAGATATACATCTGGAGCCGGATTTCTGTGGGATTGTTGGTCACGTAAAAGCCGGGCACACCGGCCCTCTCGAGGGTCACCTGTTGTTCGCTGACCTAACGGTGCCGTTACGGATCAATACAGGTATCAATACGAGTGTCAAATGCGTGGATCCACTCACTACTCACCGCCTGATCTAATTCGGTGATAGTCTTCATATCGATTTTGTTGGTCTCGTCCTCTATATATCGGTCCAGTTTCTGGTCATACGAATCAATTGGACAGTGAGTGTCAACTCATGGGCTACTACTTGTCAGCGGGTAATACCCTTTCCTCGTGAGCCACCTGTTCCGCGTTCATCGACCCGTCCTGTTGTGCCATTCGGTGCTTCTTCTGCTGATCCACTTTCATCTCTGCAGACATATATCAACCGATTGTGTGAACGAGTGGTGACCTCAATGTCTGTGTCTGTGAGCATACCTCTGAAGTGTCCGACGGCTCTCATGCGGCGCTCAAACAGTGTCTTTTCGGTGATGTGTTGGATGTCTTTGAGTCCGGACACGATCTGCCCGATGGATGTGTCCAACAGACAATTGGCTAAATTGGATAACAACTCGTATGGCATCCGCTGTTGATATAGACTGCAGAGGTTGTGTCCACATAAACACACATATCGTTAATATGGGATCAAATAGATGGTGACAATGAAGCGGTAATACTTAGGCAACTCGTGAGCCATTTGTTGCAACTCGTGGTTGAGGTGATAGTGTCGGCGCTGAAGACTCTCCCTGCGGATCAGCTCCTCATCGGTGGTATCAGTGGTTAAGTAGTTATTCATTTGATTGCAGTTTGGGTTCAGATTTGCGGTGATTTCCGCTCAAAACGAGTCAATTGTTTACCAAAAATATTGTAAACATTTCGACAGACATTACGTCCGCTATTGGTTTGAATACAAAATTACAGCCCATTCTCGCTATTAGTATCACAAATACAGACATACATCGCTATATTATACACAAGTGTAGTGTACTGAAATTGTTCTTGGGCATAAGTAAGATGTAGTGATTTAAATTGTGTGCATTTTTAATAACTAATTATTTAGTTTAGATTTAGTTTTCGAGTTTATAATGCGATCATTTGTATACAGAATTTGTTTCATTAATACAAACTTTTTTGATTTAGAAATTGTTTGCATGTTTTAAATCTCTTAGTTTTAGTCCAAAAATAATTTTAAAATCTCGATATTTTAATTAGTTTGCGTATAATTAGTGACATTAATAATGTGTTCGTAGAGGAGTTAATTATGAATAAATTCATAATGCCTCTGGGCATAATTATGACCTAAACATAGCTAATAAAGTAACGCAGTCAATAGTAGAGATTATAATCAATCTATTATCGCAACTATTTTTCTATGATTTCACAATTTTTCTCATTAATATACATCTATTTTTATTTTAATCACAAAAAGCAATTTATTTATCAAAATGATGAATAATAAATGAGTTACAGTAATTGTTTTAATATTAGGTTTTGGATGGCAAAAAAAGTTTCGATGAAAAATGAAATTCAAAAATAGAAATTGAAAAATATAGTGGACTATAGTGTAAAGAATATTCTGTTATATATGTTCAAAATCATTTTCAATGGCATGAGATTCATGAATAAAATATCTGGTGGACGCACACAGAATCGAGAATCCATTAATAACA